TTCTCCGTGCTAAGGCCAAACGGCTTGAGAATGCCGTTTCCCAGCTCCTTCAACTTCCCCCACATTTCCGCAGTCTCCGTCTCCTGCGCGGTCTTGGCTCGGCTGGGGAGCACCCTGAGCTGAGCCTGCACGATCTTGACATCGGCCGGGCTCAAGTTCGTCATGGTGGACAGTTTCTTGTAGTCGCCCACGGCGCCCTCCAGGTTGGACCAGCCACCGAGCTCGCTTCTGGCGCGGCCGCGCCGCATCAGGGCCTTTGCTCGTATCCTCGCGATGTCGTCTTGTCTTTTTCTCCACGCTACGTCGATCTGGCTCTCGGGCTTTGGGAGGGGCGGGCCGGCGGCTGCGGCACCCGGGCTGATGATCTCTATCTCGGCGACCTCGTCTTCCTCCTCCTGGGCCTTTCGGGCCTTGACGTCCTCCTCTTCTTCGCGCTCCAGTCGATCAAGGCCGTCTAGCGCTGTCGTGGCATTATTGATGGCCTCCTTCCACTCGGCGAGTTTTAGGTGGCAGGCGGCGATGTTAGAACGGAGGACGGCCAGCTCGAAGTCGAGGTAGGATGGGCACAGGGCCAGGGCCTCGTCGTACTTGTTGATGGCGGCGTCGTACTTGCCCGAGGTGAAGAGCGAGTTAGCCTCAGCCTTGTGGATGTTGGACTCAGCTATGGCTGCCTGGAGGAATTAAATGGGCAGGTCGGTTAGCTTGCCGGCAACGGTACTATTTGCATAATGGAGAGGCGTTGGGACAGGGGAGTGCTGAGGAGGGCCCGGACAGGGAACTGGGAACTTGCCGCCTCTTCTTCTGGCGACAATTTGGTGCCCGGCTGGTGGACGTCGCCAGCATCGTCGCCATAGTCTTGACCAACAGGGACTGGCTTGTGGCCGCGGTCTGGAGCCCGGCGGCCCGATGAGCTGGTGCCGTTGGGTGCCATCGCTTGTTCGGTAGTGCAATTGTGTCGGTGCGGGCTGCCGAGGAAAGCGAGCACAGGAGATCGAACTCAGATTCCCGTCGGTCAGACTTCAGACACACGGTCGGTCGTCAAGGTGTTACCGGAGCGAGATAAGAGAGTTGCAGGCCTGGGGAAGTCGATTGGTGGTGGGGTTGGCTGCGGAGGTACTGGTACAAATGCAACCTGAAAGACAAGTGAAGCTCTAAGGATGGTCAAGCAGCGACATTGCGGCTGGTTTAGCGGCGGTGCGCAACGATGTGCGGGGCCAGGCAGGTACATACCTACCCAGGTAGTAGCTGGCAGCGAGTGGAGATAGACCCAGAAAATATTTAACAAACAAACTGGAAATTGCAAACCGTTTTGCACCACTTTGACGATCATATTTTCATATGCAACTACACATGGCACTTGCCCACCTGGTACCAGGCAATTAATCGAACGAGGGCGGGAAGTTGATGACGACAAGCAATTAAGACACGGCAGCAGCTTCCCTCCAGTCTCACCCGCAAGGTGCCTGTTCCCAAGTTGACTGAGTGACGTGGGGCCTGGATCCCCGCATCAAACAAGAGCTTGGAGCTTTTGGGACACTTAATATTCCACAGCTTGCATCCATGCCTTCCTTGTCATACCCCGATCTGTTCAGACGTCATTAATCCTTAATTTTCACAGTCAGACCTTGCCACACCGTATGGTGGCGCAAGCGCATCTTGCGACGACAAGTCCTCTTGAGCCTGCTAGTCGAGCCAATTCCCGCACGTGTTCTGCGAGAGCCCGCCTTGATGGACTGCCAAACATGCATTGGACTTTTGGATGGAAACCTTGCGCCGCAGCTCTCATCCGTAGGTGTCTGCCCAGGCTGCCAGGTAAAGGAGCCGGGGTCGGTCAGTTGCACTACGGTAGTACATGCTAGCAGTGGGTGGAGTGTTCGGGTAGATCGTCTTCATCGTCCAACGGTTTCGATCCGTGGACCTGCCATTGGAGTTGGAGCTTGCTTGTTGGAGCTCCCCGCTACTGGAGCAGCGCAGGGCAGCTCTTATCTCGCTGCCTTTTCGGCTGCCCAGTCGGTTTTGCAGGGGGGGAAGGCCCGAAAAAGAGTCGGGAAATACCACCGTATCTACCTAGGTTAGATAATGCCTCTAGTAGTTGAGCATCACTCTCACGGTGGATCGATCGCGTTGCATCTCTCTCATCCGGGGCAAGACGCATTGCTTCGGGAAATGTCGCGGCCAGACTGAAGCTCTCAGAACCGGATTGCCCAAGCCCGCGCTTGTCGTCGTTTCAGTGGGCGCCGTAGCCAGGGGCCCCGCATGGCCCCGCATGGAGACCGGGGTTACCTCACTTCTCCAACTTTTCCTAATCGCATTGTTCCGCGACTTCTGAAATTCTGCAGAAGCAGCCGCTACAGGGAAGCTGCCCCTCCAAGCCCTCCTTCCTCATCCGAATCTCAACACCTCCAGTCATTCCCATGCGGACGACTGCCCGGAGGCGACTCAAGTCAGCTCTTATCAAGGAATCCGCAGCCCGTCTGTAACCAGGGCAAGGCTTGCCAGTGTGGACCCTGGTTTGAGCACCACTTGTCCACTGGCCTCGGTCCTTCCTGACACCATAGGTATAAAGTACCTACCAGACGCGCTGACCTACCCGACCTTACCTTACCTTACCTCCTCCGCTTCACCCATCAGGCCTAAGAAATTCCCAAACTCAATCGGAATCCTCCCATTTACCTAGAAAACCTTGCCTGCGCTCTGCTCTCTACCTGGAATATCCTCAACACTCCACACCGCGCCATACAAAAAAGAACAGCAAGCGTACCAGCCGCAACCATGCCCACGCGAACCGAGTAAGCACTTGTCCTCCGCCAGCTCCTTTCGCAACGATGGATCCACGATTCGAAGTGGGATTCGCAGTGGTCCAGTTTTCCGATCAGCGCATGTCGGGGCTATCTTGCTGATCTCCACTCCCAGGTTCCCCCCCGTTCGCGCCTGTCTCTTCGACATGGACGGCCTTCTGCTGGACACTGAGGACCTGTATACTCTTTGCGTCAACCTAGTTCTCGAGAAATACCAGCGCGGCAAGCTCCCCTGGAGCATCAAGGCGAAGCTGCAAGGCCGTCCCGGCCCCGAGGCTACCAAGCTCTTCCACGACTGGGCCCAGCTCCCCATCGACCACGAGGAATACCGAAGCCAGTTTTACGCTCTGCAAGCCCAGCACTTCCCCGGCACGCAGCCGCTCCCCGGCATCGAGAAGCTACTCAGCGACTTGGGCCGAACCCGCTACTGGGATATTAAATACGACACCGCAGCCGCTAACGGAGATACGCCCGTCGTCGATAAGGAGAACGCCGATCCCGTTGCCAATGGCAAGGCCAAAACGCCCACCACATTTGCTTCGACCTTCTCCCAGCTTCCCCACCGCGTCCACATCGCCCTCGCCACCTCATCACACGAGTCCAATTTTCGGCTCAAGACCAACCATCTCACCGAGCTCTTTTCTGTCTTCGAGGGCCATCGTCGCGTTCTGGGCGACGACACGCGCATCCCGCCCGGCCGCGGCAAGCCCCTCCCCGACATCTACCTCGTGGCACTCCAGACCATCAACGACTCCCTCCCGGCGGGAGAGAAGCCCATTACCCCCGAGGAGTGCCTCGTGTTCGAGGACAGCGTTCCCGGCGTGGAGGCAGGCCGCCGTGCTGGCATGCGCGTCATCTGGTGCCCGCACCCCATGCTGAAGAAGGAGTACACGGGCCGGGAGAAGGAGGTGCTCGCCGGCCGCACGGGCGAGGCGGGCCAGGTCGACTTGCACCAGCTGGGCGAGATCGACGATGGCTGGGCCGAGTACCTGCCTACGCTCGTCGATTTTCCGTACGCGAAGTACGGCATGACCATTCCCCCCTACGAAGTGGAGAAGGAGCCCTTCATGAAGGCTGGCTCGGTCATGGATAAGGGCGAGGTGGTCCAGGTTGTCGAGAACGTTGCTGCCGCGGCCTAGGTCCACAGCTTGGATCTGCTTCTTGATTAGATTCTACACGACACGACACGACCCGACGAACACGGATTCCATCCACGGCGCTCCACGGCCCTCCACGTCCAGCGATTGGTTATTAACGATATATCCTGCATGTGGTCTGTATGTAACGGTGTGTGTAGTGACGGGGCGCACACGCGGAGTGCACTGGCGCTTACTTTTTGCAAGCCAAAATGAGATGTCATTTTGCGAACCTTTTTGGGCCCGAATGCTGCTGGTCGCTTCTTAAGCCGCAGCATACTGTGGCGTAACGTTGTGGTTACGCTACGAAATAGGCGGAGGAGTGGGAGACACTCGATCGTGGGGGCGAACCCGTCCTTGGCATTTCTTTATTTTTTGACGATCATGACAAATGGACTGCGGCTCACGGGGGTAAGGGCTAGCGACGGACAATAGAGGGTGGCACAGAGATCGTCCGCGGGTCGCGGGATGTTCTCCGATTCTCTTCTTCGGGAGGCAGGGTCCATGTCACGGACGACTGCCACACCATTTCTGTATGTACGTTGGACTCTTTACACAGACTGGGGAGAAATTCCAGAGATACCATAGACTGCGGACAAATAAATGCGCATAGATTGCATCATATTCCCAGATGGTTTTGCGATCGGATATCTAGACCTACGGTGTAAAAAGTTCACCAATCTCGTCCAAAAAGAGCCAGCCAATGGAAATATAGCTTGGAGTCGAACATATGCTCATCCTACACCCCGCCAAATCCGAATCTTATCAGCAGCTCAAATAAGATCTTGACGATGCGACCATCACCACCAAGAAACCAATCCACCTACCTACAGGTACCTGGTAGGTACGTACTAGCCAGTCAGTTTTCGCAACCTTACCCACAAGCTCTCGAGAGCCTCAACCCTGCCGCCGTCCAGACACCCCACACCTCCACCACCACTCCACAACACACAAAAATACTCCATCCCCTCCCAAAGAAACAAACAACAAAACAGGACATCAACCTCGATACCGCTGCCTTCTCTCAACAAACTGGAAACCTCGGTTCTCCAAAGTACACATCCCATCCGGTGTGGTGTAGCGGTAACATTGTTGACTCTCATCTGCTGTCTCATCAGCGTACAGATCTCAATAGCCCGGGGTTCGATTCCCCGCATCGGAAATTAATAAATGATTATTTTTGCAACTTCCTGTTCCTCTTTTTCTCTTTTTTTTTTCTATTCTTTGTTTCGTATCATCCTTCTTGTAGGTTTGGCCAACCTGCCTTGCTCATCGTCTACTTAATCTTTTGTCTCGCTGGCTTACCGGGAGGAACGAGGGGTAGGTAACCTGAGCGACGCCTTCACAAAAAGAAAATGACCATTATCATCATCATCATCATCATCATCATCACCCTGACCAGGACTGCAGTTTAACGCACTTCGCTCTCACCACCATTCCAAGCAAAGAAGCTATAGGAGGATCAAGATCAGATACAGCAATTCCATACGTGGCTTCGTTTAGCCACTCATCCACATCAAGTACAGCAGCCGATGCATGTTAATATGGTAAAACAACAAAAGCAAATAAAATGCTCACTTTCCCGCCGTCCAGACACACCTATGCAATCGGAACATGGCATTTTATGTGTTGCAAAAAAAAAAAAAAAAAAAAAAAACAGATCTGCGATTGCGGACCAGCAATCACCGTTTATAAACCCCATTCTTTGCGACATGTCACAAAACAGTGTGTAGAGAAGCATAGGGTGCAAAAGCCTTGTATTGTAGACTAAGGAAATAACCGTATGTCAAGCTGTATAAGTCTTTGGCCTACTTCTACCGCTTGACAGACAGTTATTTTCTTTGTCTACAATACAAGGCTTTTGCACCCTATGCTTCTCTACATACTATTTTGTGACAGTTATGGGCCCGGCGTTTCCCAAGCGCACGTGGACTCGATCAAGATTTTATACTTTAGAGCTTTAAACCCTCCCTCAACTGCTCATTCGCTCTTCTTCCAAGTCATCCTTCCCAAGGGATCACTTCCATCGCGCCAGCTGCTCTCTCCCAAATCTCGCCGCCTTCACTATCGGCCTAACTCCCACATCTCATAATATGCAAACAGAAAACAACAGACCCAGATTTCCCTCCTGCAACCTCCGTTTCTTTTCTCCCCTCTTTCACTCATGAATGCCCAACTGCCCATAAGAACACGAGAGCGCTCTATTCTAACGTCATCAAGTCACCAGCTCTGACCAAAGCTCGCGGGGTATAATAAAACAGCGAATCCAAAAATGCCATCAAAACACAGGACCGAAAAAAGAAGTAACGGAACCTCGCAGAGCAGGTGATTCTCCGAGGCCAGACATAACCACAACAGATCTCCCCCCTCACGAAGGCCACAGCCCGTGCTGTGAGTTGAACACATTCGTCTTGTTGGGCGGCTCGTACCAGTTCTGGTACGGGTGATTGCGGTGCCGAAAGTCCGCATTTACCAGAAGTGGGTTCACCGTCGGTCTCATGGGAACAGACGCGGCGGCGGCTGGAAGAGCAGGAGTAGATGCAGTCCTTGAAGTGCTATTCGCGTGCTCATGCTGCTCTCGGTCTCTCTCTTGCTGCTGCTGATGCTGATAATGCTGCTGTTGTTGCAGCGAAGGCGCAGAGAACAGCAGCGGAGCAGGGCTTTCCCACCTCCAGGCTTTCTTCAGCTCCGTCAGGACCTTGCCGAGGCGCCAGCCCGTCTCCCTGCTGATCTTGTCAAGGATCGCCAGCACCTCGGTCTGCTCTTCATGGTTGATCAGCACGGCACCAGCAACGGCCAGGCTACGGATCGCTACGGATGCCACTCCGCGGTCCTTGGTGTGCGCCACAATGCCGCACACCTGGTGGGAATGGTGGAGTTGTGCAGCGCAGTTCTCGTCGCTGTCCCTGGGGTTCAATGGGTTGATTTGAGCTAGTAGGCACATCGCCGTGTGGTAGAACAGACGGCCGATAATAGCGGGCTGCTTGATGAGCCTTTTGTTGGAGTTCATGTCAGCTCGGTCTAGGGGCAAAGGGGGAGGGTGGGAGGGAGTGGGGAGGAGGTCAATAATTACCACACGTTCGGGAACAGCGACTTGCCCGATGAGTGGGAATACCCATACGGACTCATAGATCGAGGGCAGTTGTTGTTCCACGTATCACACATGCTCTTTAGTCTCTTCCATTCGGCGAAGCGACTCTGTAGGCGGACTTGCTCATCGTGTGGCGACGCCTCTTGGAAGCGAGGGATATTGGCACGAAAGTTGGCGATCTTTGCCATGATGAAAAGGATCTGGTGAGCCCACAGCTCCTCGTCGCCAGCGCCTGCCACCTTGCTCGTGTCTTTCTCGCGTTCCCGACTGCCACTGTCCGAGCTCGGCCCCAAGTCGTGGCTGCCTGCCGTCGAGTTGATGATGGCCTGGTCCAAGCCCCACTGATCTGGATCCCAAGCTGTCTGCCAGTTGAACGCAAGACAGCTGAGCACTTCCATGCCGATATTGAGCCAAAAGCACGCCCCTCCGATTCCCGTCGTAGCCGCGTTCCATCCACATTCGCGAATCAGTGCCCGGGCGCCCGCAATGTGGTTCATGCGCTGCGTTGGCTTTTCGCTCATTATCTCGTACACGTTCAGAACAACGGCTGTCGTTGCGCATTCGGCCATGTTGCGGTTAGGGTTTTGGAGGCTTCGTAAAAGCTGCGTGGTGGCTGTATCATAATAGAAGAGCGCCTTCTCGTCGCTATAAGACTCGACCTGAGTCAGGTGCTTGACACCACAGGCCAAGAAAGCGTTGAGCAGCATAGGGGACTTGAGCGCAAGATATGGCGTGAGGTTGGTAAAATGTTTTTCCTTGTTCAGACTGTCCATCCAGATGGCTATGTTATCGATGAAGACCTGCATGAAGTGGATCTCCTCCTCGTCGTTGAGATAGTCGCGTTCCCCGGCCGCCTCACTTGGCGGTGTCAGAGCGCGCTCGGGTGTACCACGTTCATGACTGTGGCCTTGAGCTCTTTGCCGGGGATTTTGTGCTATTTGAGCGGGCCCAGTGCCGTGTATCACAAGCGACGATGTGGCGCCAGTGCTCTGTGGAATGAGTGACGACGCAACACTCGCATCGCTTCCCCTGTATGCGTGTCCCCGAGGAGCGGTATCTTCCCGAATTGCATATTGATCATGCAGAGCTGTGAGTGGAAATGAACCGCTGGATTCCAGAAGAGAGGCGGGACCATGATGCGGGGCTTGTATGGAGAGAAGAGGACCACTGTCCTTGCGAGACTCCAGTCCTCGCATCTGGGCCAGTTGGAACTCACCACAGTCGTCTTGACCTTCTGGAGATGGAATTTGACCAGGAATCCCAGGGTGGTAAAATCCGTTTCTTGGAAGCGCAAGGCTAGCATCTCTGTTGCTGGTAGCAGACTGATGGGGGAGAGCTGTGTCTAGCTCGGCCTCGCGGGGGGGCGTGTAGGTGTTGCCGACATCCTGAGGATATCGTCTGAGACCACCCCGATATTCGGATGCAATCAACCTGGACTCGTCTTGAAAGTGAACTAAAGTCATTGTCAGTCTTGGACGTTTCCCCTAGCCACAGACTCGTGAGTCTGCCAGGCATGGCGTAAACTAGACGACAACGAACCTGACCAATCCAAAGTTGGAGGCACAATTCGTGGGTTTTTGACTTGGATGTCGATAAAGTTAAGCCTTACGCCTCGCTTGCACTCACGACTGCTCTTACGGCAGTTATTGCAATCCGGCATGCCCTCATCACACTTGAGGTGCCGTTCGCGGCAGGTTAGACAACCGGTGCGTACCCGGCGAGACTTGGAAGCTGCGGGAGTAGCAGCAGAGTTAGCTGTCGCTGGGCTGCTTTCCTCGCCATCTACCTCATCCCCAGCCCCGTTGGGAGATGATTTCCGGCGGGCATGGGAATTCTGTCGGCCTCTTGACCCGGCTCTTTCGGCGGACCCAGCCCCAGATATTCGTGGCCGTTTCGGCGGTGAGACTTCAAAGCTGTCGCCCTGTCCCAAGCCATCAGCCGTATTGATGTAAGGCGGTGATGGCTCCTGGTATTGAGTATGTGGCTTGGAGTTTTGCGGGTGAGGGTAAGGATGCGGTGAAGCATAACGGGCCCGAGGCTGTGAGAGGGATTGAGAAAGCGCATTTTGGCGCAAAGCTGGATTCATGGCCCCGGGGCTCAAGCCCGGGACGAGGATGTCTATTAGCGCTTGGTCGGGGTGAAAGTGCCGTCCGTAAGTCTATGACAAGGCCGCTGTGCGTATGTGTGTGCCCTCGTCGGTTACCGGGCGACTCAAGAAAATGTACTTGGACTCGAGGTTGGTGTAAACAGAAGAAGAACGATCGTGATTGCCAAACGGAAAATAACTCGGGTATTTCGATCGAATGCGTGCCCTCTCGGACGTTGATCGGGTGTGATTGCCTAGCTCGCAGCGTTGGATTACGGGTTGTGTGTGTATATTTTCTGGTCCCCTGAAAGAAACTCGGGCGATAAGGAGCCGGAAATAGTGCGTCAGTCATCAAAAAGGGGTTCGCGGTTTGGTTCGGCTTGACATGTGAAGCTGGCTTAACAATCGTTAGATACCATGGCGCCAGTGATCATAGCCGTCAAAGATGACGATAAAGAAAAGATTTTGTCGAAAGACGGGCGAGGGCTTGCCGTGGTGTTGTTACGTTGAGATGGTCGGTCAGCCAAGAAAGCTGGTGATTGCAGGGGGGACGCAGAGACGCTGCACTGTGATGGTGCGGTTGCGCTGTTATGGGGTTAGTTAGCGGCGCTGCTCTTGGGGCGGGATGGCTAGGGCAGCCCAAAGCGCCAGGGCCCCCTCAGATCCCCTGAAGGTTCCTTCATCCACCTTCTGGGGAGCAAGTGGATGTCATTCGCTCCGAGCTGCTACCTGGCTGGGCCAAGAGAAGCTCGATGTGCAACTGCAGGTCTTGGAAGATCTTGGAAGTTTGGGAAGAGGTGTCGCTAGATGCGGGAGCAGGGAAGGTTGTGGCGCCCGCTTGGCCGGGCCATTCAGTGCAACCAACGGGCTTGCCGGCAGCTGCCTGTACACTACACGCACGGCAGTACCTGGCCTTCCAGATTGCCAGCTTGCGCTCCCGCCCGTCTCGAGTCGTTGTGTGATGATCCCATTCGGGCCATTGGGC